CAAGAGCCTCACTAACGCCAGTAAAGTGTCATACGGAAGTGGAAGCACAGTGAGTCGGTAAAGGAGAATTGGGTAGATGTGTGAAACACATACTTCCGCCCCCCCTTTAAGGAAAGATTCCTCCGAGACCACAAATTAATTGCGATCTCGGCCTTCCCTTGCACCTCCGACCAATTCATTTCCAACTGGAGATCAGGACCGAACCAGACGCCGAGAATCTTGACCGGCCCATCCGTCCAGAGGGATGGTCCGAGAAGAGAAACTCCCTTCCACGCACCCAACCGCAAGCCGACAAACTTATCGCGGTAGATCTTGGCCCCTATCACCATCTTATAACCACTGATTTCTTTGCTGACTTCGTTAATCTCGGCCCTGCTCGGCGCAAGAACCGAAACGTCGTCAGCATAGGCAGAAAACTGGGCGAGAGGTTAGCACCAGGTAGGGAAATTCCGCGTAGGGCCAGATTCGTCTTTAACTTGCGAAGGAAAGGTTCCAACGCAAGAACGTAAAGCAAAGGCGAAAGCGGAAACCTTGACGAATGGAACGAGACAATACCAAAGGCCCCGATCGTACTCCGTTCACCTCCACCAGCGCACCGGGGTTCGCATACAGAAGTCGGATCCAGGTGCGAAAGTACGGCTCGAAACCGGCCGCCGAAAGGACAGCCTCGAGGAAGCGATGGTCAACTCTATCGAAGGCCTCGAACTGATCTAAATTGATCAGCGCAGCTTCACTGTCGACTTGCTCGATGATCAAGCGTACCATACGAAGGTCGTCCTGGATAGTCCTGCCTTTCACAGCACAAGTCTGTTCGGAGCCAATCAGACTAGAGAGGACAGCCTGCAAACGGTTTGCTAAGACCTTAGCCAAAATCTTTAACTCTGTGTTTAGCATAGTTAAAGGGCGAAAGTCATCTAACCCATCCCCACCGTTTTTGTCCTTACGTAACAACTTTATTACGCCCCTGGTGTTCATCCATTAGCCGAAAATCAGTGCCAGCTAGGTAACAAAAACGGGTGACTGTCTCAAGTATACTTCGTATGGAAGACCATCTAATCCCGGAGATTTGTCCAGATCAAACCTGTTTCAGCGCTTACCAGATTTCCGGATCTGTAATGAGATCTTCGCACCTAGCCGCTTCAGCTGTCTTAAGGCAGGGAAAGTCAACTAAATAGGCGTCGAACTGAGCAGGGCTCAGACGGGGCTCCCTGGTGAACAGTTCCTGAAAGTACTCACGAAAAGCCTCACATATGCCCTCGTTTGTAGTCACGGTCCGCTTATTCGACAATGTGACGCATACGATATGTCGCCGAGAGGCGCTCCGATTCTCCTCTGCACGCAATTCAGCGGCCATATTCGTTGCCTCAGGGGACATTCTATTTAACCTAGCCCCTAACTACCAGAGCTTGATCCTTCTTGATAAGGGAGGAGGACACCTCTGCCTTAGCTAAGGCTATTTCCGCACTATCACTGGATTTAACTGCTCGGTCAACTTTTTGTTCTAAAGCCGTTTGCGCCGCTAATCTATCTAGATTGAATCGATGACTAAAATCAGCAGCAAACGTTCTAACTTTCGATTTTAATTTATCCCACCAGTCGTTCCCTACAACCGCCCCCGTCAATTCCCTCTTTATCATTAGTAGCAGCTGGTCCCGGAAATCCCGTTCACCAAATAATGAACAGTTTAATTTCCAGTAGCCAGCCAACCTAACCTTAGGCTTATCTAAGTTTACAGGGACCCGGACAAGGCTATGATCCGAATAAACTATATAATGGAAACTTGGACACCCTAAGAACCCTACATCGACTCTGTGACACTATTTAGCTATAGTAATTGGCTAACTAATTAATCATAGAAATTAAAAAAGAAAATAGACCTTCTTAAAGCGAAAGACAGAATGATCGATGAAAAAAAAAAGATTTTTATTCTATTTACGAAAAAAAAAAAGATACTTTTCACAATAGGCTGTAAACCCGAGAAGAAGCCAAGAAGAGGTCTTGTCCTGTCGAGTTAATTTATGTCTCGCCGAGGGACATAGAAAGAAAGGCAAATCTGGAATTATCGACCAAAACACGTGCCGGTCATAAAAATTTCGGCTGGAGAGGGATGTCGATACAGGCAGCAATGTTAATTATCTTTCCAAGATATCGTTTATCTTTTTTTTTCTTGGATACAGGCGAAGAGAAGCAATGTGGCAATTATAAAATTTTGCCATTGTCTCGATATAGGTGAGAGGATTGTTATCATTTATTTTGCCAACAGACGCTAAGACGTCGAATAGCAATGTGGCAATTGTAAACTTTTGGGAGTCCCCAGAAAATAGTGGAGAATTGAGATTTGGCGAGATAAAAGAATTTAATTTCTTAACAACTCAAGGATTCCATTATAAAGCTAACTTAGCGTAAAGAACCAGATGGCAAACTTTGACAGTAATTAATGAGACGGTAAGAGTGCTGGATAAGTGACTTTTGGGTGGCCCAGGAAAAAGAGAACATGATAAAATTTAATTGGCAATGTGGATATTGTAAAAATTTTTGACCGATGGAAAAGGAGAATTTTGTAAACGAAAATTCTAGATTATAATTTTAAGGAGGCCAGCGTAGCCACACCCACACTACCGAGAGATAATTGGTCGTATGGTAGCATGGTGATAGGCGGTGGTGAATGGATGAGAAAGGTGGAGAAGATGTTAACGCCCACTGAAGGGACTGGTATGAGATATCAATGTGAGAGAGAAAGAGTCTAGGAGAATAGCTCTCCTCCGACCTTCCCTCACTCACCCCAACCCTGAAATGGGAAGTGGTTAATTTTCCAAAAATGGGAAATAATCAATTTTCCTGTCCTGACAACAATGAGATTTCTTGAACCGCAGGCCGCGTCGGGCCCCCACACTGGGTTTAGGTCAGTATCCATATAAACGAATGACGATGGGTCGTTCAGCAGATGGAGAGTAGAGAGAAGATGAGCAGTCGCAGTTCAGCTCCGGACAGAGTCAGAGACAGTTTGAGTAGCGGAAACCAGAGTGTTGCCTCGCAGAAGCTGACCGAGAGATTCCACGACGCCCGACTTCGCCGACTCTACCCATAGCAAGTTATACTCACGAAGTTAAGTCAGCACTTAAAAACTAAACCTGTTGACTTAGAGGTCGAACTTGCTTGGAACATAGAAGTGTCACATTTCGTTGGAAACGGGCTGGGAGAAAAACACACTCCTGTATATAACAGAAGGATAATGTCGAATTGTTATTTCCTAACATACTTGAATCTCTTGGGTTTTTCTTTTATTATTTTTTTCTTTGCGCTTGTGCAGTGCCACCTTCAATTTGGACTCAGCTTACACTACGGCCCGACGCCTGAATGATTTCGTCTACCTAAGATCAAAGTCACAAGGTGGGTAGGTTACAATTGAGGTCGAAGCAGTTACTCCAGTAACCAGACATTGCAAGTGAGCTGGGAACGATAGAGTTGGCATTGAACCGGTACAGCTGGTGAAGCCGTTAACATCGACGACCAGAATTCGACCCTGGTGCCACATATTGGTGCCTTGACCACTGGATTCGACCCTGGACGGCGGAGTGTCACATATTGGTAGGATACCAATATGTGACACTCCGCCGTCCAGGGTCGAATCCAGTACCGACGACCACCGAACGACCGAGACACAGGCTGATGGCAGCGACAAAGAGTCAACCCCAAAACGCGACTGGTAGTTGACCACGGGCCGACGGCTTAATGTCACACTCTCCTAACTAAGACTCGATCGAGGTAGCTAGCAAGCATCCCAGGAGCCGAGTTTCCACTATTTGTCCAAGTCCAATCTACCTCCCGAGGGTGCTCATTTCGGTACTTATCGACAAGATCAAACCACTCGATAAAGTCCCGAAATGGTTTCATATCCCGATTGCTAGTACCCGGTTTTTGCCCTATACGATCTAAATCGGGGTTAAGGACGGCATTTCACCCCACCTCCAGCTAAAACTACCCGACGAGATGTCATGAACGGCTCGATTCGCCGAAACAAGGGAAGCCGGTCAGCTTGAAAATTGGGCGCATAAACCCCAATGAAACGTAGAGCCTTATCCTTTATGGTAACATCCAGCACGTAAAGTCTGCCCGCCGGATCTGCGAAGACAAGAGCACACGCAGCCTTCAAAGACTTGCTCACCAGCCAAGAAACACCCCTCGAGCGTCCATCAAAACATGCTGAACCGAGGGAAAACCCCTAGACAGAATGCTCTCATGATCGCGAGAAGAAAAACGGGTCTCATGTACACAACATGCATCCACCCCGAGACGCTGAAGGTCACGATATAGCCTCACCCTGCGAGACTCCGACCTCAGGCCGCGGACATTCAAACTAGCTAACCAGAGAGACATTATCAAACAGATTAGGATTGCTTACCTGAATTAAACATGGACGGGGTCAAGATACCAACCCGTGGCCCATCTCAGTCTTGATGGTGCCGTCTTGGGAGAGACCGCCTATATCCCATGGAAAGGTCAATTTTAGTGTTTTATAGAGGGAGGGGCGAACAAAAACAGGGACCCTCCCAGCACAAAATTGCTCCAGTTTCTTTAAGTTTGGGTTTTCGACAATGGCAATGGGCGGTGACATTTTAAATGAGGTTATAGCCTCGTCTAACATTGCCCAAGCCTGCTTTGCACCCGTTCCAGTCCTCATCACTGTCAATACACTTTGGGCATTGGGGAAATTTTGCGGGATCCTCAACATCTCTGTCAGCATAATGCTTGACAAAGAGGAGGTATCTTAAGTCTTTGATCCTGTTACCGTAATCGCGGGCTCTTTCTGCTTGGGCGGGGAAAATACGGCATACATCATCGCCTGTATTGTAGATGTGTTTTTGCTTCTTTTGTCGTTTAAATCATGGATGGGGCTTCTTTGTCTTTTGTTGGGTGGAGGGGACATATCAGATGATTTAGTGGTGGAAGGACTGGGAGTGTGGCAAGGAGTAAAGTTTTGTCTGAATGGGTTGGGATCTCTACTGCGAGGAGTTGAAGGATGGGAAGTATGTGTCTGTGGATGTGGAGGATATGGCCTTTTTAAAGGGAGAGGGCTTTTGTTGGATGGAATCTCTACTAAGTGGGGTTGAGGGATGGGAGAAATGTATTTGGGCAGAGGCTGTGGAGGGAGTAGCCTTCTTAGCAGAGGAGGTCTTTAGTTGACTAGTGTTTCTACTGAGTGGGGTAGAGGGATGGGAAGAATTTGCTGAAAGTGGGGCAGTGGATGTGGAGGGAATAGGCTTTTTAACGGAGGAGGTCTTTTGATTTATCTCTTAATTTTTTAATTTTCTCGGTTTTGTCAAAACCCGGGTCGTATTTCTTTTGCATCTCTGTTAAGAGACCGGGGTGTCGCCCTTAATGTTGACAGAAGGAATGGGACTGTCAGTGCCTTTCGTCCCAGTGGCTTCAGGGGACTGAGGACCCGCTGTCTGGCGCTTCCCTCTGGTCCTGCCAGCAACCTGCCATTCCCCCCACTCCCTTCTCCACGACTGCACTTGCAGCGAGTGAAAGCTCTTCGGGGAATGGGGGCTTAGATGTAGGCCCAACCGGGGGTTTAACCGCTCCGGTCCCGGAAGCTGACATGCGCATTACAGGCGTGACAGTATTCAAAGACGCGGTTAGAGGGGGAGTTTGGTCGACTGGGGCCTGACTTCCAGAGGCTTTTTTCTCTGGGCAGGAAGAGGAGAGGTGTCCAGTCTCTCCACACTTCCGACACACCGGTTTGTGGCAGGTCACAATGACCGGCAGCTTCAGGCCTCCTACTTCCAGACAGTTGGGGATTGAGAGGAAGGCTTTTCGGTCTAACATTATGTCAAACCTCCATCCCCTGGTCAAGCTATCGCAGGAAGAACCTAGTATTTCGCCATATTGCGAGGAGGGACCTCGTATATCGCTACGTTGGTCTTCGCCTGATTTCGTAGAATGATATCTTTTGTGATCAATTCTCGGCTTGTGGCTTTGAGACAATCTTCTGGTGTGGGTAGCAATACGTCACACATGAAAAAGTCCGAGCACTTAACAATTCTTAGTGGCTTGAACCCCTGGGATTCCAGTGTTTATACCACTGTGTCTTTCGTCGAACGACAAATTTTGTGTGAAAGCTTGTCGACGACGAAGACTGACACTATTCTTTTCTCGGTCATCTTTAGTTCTATGTGGTCTTGCAAGTTCCCACCTTCCATGACAAGGTGTACGTAACTCTTGAAACGCTCCAAGAACTCCGCTATATCGATAATGCATTTTGGAGGGGACTTCCAACAACAGGGCGAATCCCCGGCCTCCACGTTATTTTTGGTCTTGTTATCATCTTTTTGGCCGATATTGGCCTCCGTATTTTTTGCTGCTGAGTTTTGGCCATTATTGCCCTTCATATTTTTAGATACAGATTTATGGCCATTATTGGCTACCGTACTTTTTTTTAGTTTGGCCGTTATTGGCCTCTAAACATTTTTTATTTATTTGGTCTTGGCCATTATTGGTCTTGTCATGACTACCAACGGCCTCCTCATTAACGGAAACTAATGCCGGGTATTCTTCGGAATTGTCTTTATCAAATTTAAATAGTCAAACGAACAGAAGCAAAAACAAAAAGACATACAAGAATTAGACGACAGACGAGAAAAATTAAAACAATATAAACAAGGTTCGCCCGTAACCGAGACTATAAATTTAAAAGACAACAAATACAAAACATAGGTAACTCCACGAAATCGCTAAAACATAGCATAGCATGATGAAGAAGACGCCAAACTTGACGAAAACAAAATTTTATCGTCTAAATATTCATGTTATTATTAAGAGGAAATACTAAAGTTTTTTTTTAATTATTTTTAAAAATTTTTCTTTCTTTTTAGAACATTCTAAATTTTGTTGTTTCTCTTTGTATCACCGGGACTAGTAAAATAGCATAAGCAGTTTTTAGCACGTTTTTTTTTTTGTATGACACACATTAATTTGGAAAATCTTGCAAAAATAAAAATAATTGTCGCATGTTAATGAAACTTTCAGAAACTATTCACAGATGATCAAATTATTATAAGTTTTTTTTTTTATTAAAGTCATGGCATAAATTTTTTTTATATATAAATATAAAAAAAATTTACCCACCCCCTAACTAATTTTATGGAAACTAGAAATTCGATCGCATCGGGTTTAGTGATTACAATAGTTAAAAGCACAAGGCTTTACAAAACTCAATAAAACAAAGATACTATTTAATTTCAAATGCTTTTATTTGCTTTTAGTTGTTTTTATGAATATGAACAATATTTTCTGAAAGCAAAATTTTTTTCGATGAAAAATGAATTTTTAATACAATTATTTGTTATTTTTTAATTATAATAGATTTTTACATTTAAGTTGTTAAAATATTATAAAATTAGTTAAAAGCCGCATCGGCAGTGGCGTAGCTAAGTCGGGTGGGAGGACCGCCCCGGGTGCCAGCACAGGAGGGGTGACACAATGTCACCCCCAACAAAATTTTTCAACCAGGCTAAGGTGCCAAAAATAGTCTGAAAACAGTGGTGGAAACACAGGGTTTCGCAGGTGGGCATATGACCCCCACCCCGAAATAATTTATGACCCCCCAGTTTGAAACCCCATACCCCCCGCACCTCGTCAGAATTTTTCTAATAAATTGTCGGGAAATTTGTGAGTAGGAAAAATAGCAATGTTTTCAGCTTTTGATTTGAACTGATTATTTTGTTGTATTGGATTTTGTCTTGGATCATACATGTAAACAGTAACGTACCGGTCAGTAGAGTAAAGTAGAAGTAGAGCATGTATGAAAATTTAGCTACAGCTAACCATTCAGCATAGGGTGAATCGGGGTCATTGGGGTAACATTTGAGCGGACCGCCCCGGGTGACGTTTACTCTAGCTACGCCACTGCGCATCGGGTTTCCTAATTGTTTCCTTATGAGATAGATCTTTTTTAGCACGTTGTAAATTGTATCATTTTGACTAATCAGAAGACCCGAAGTAATTAAGAAATGTAATTTTGTGTTTATAATCGGGCTGTAATTATAAAGTACGGAAGACCAACCAGAATACAATTAAGTTGCGTTATTTGAGTTAAGCATTGTTCTCCGCTGTTAAGGCCTTTACTTTTGCGAAACACGTGTGGAGAAGTTAATTTGATTTTTCAATTTCGACTGAGAAGGGTCTACAAGTATCAACATCATCTTATGAAATTTATATGATCTTATTTTTATATTAATCTGAGTAATGACATTTTTCCATCAATGAAATATCAAAATTAATAATAAAATGCATGGAAATACAAATAACACAGTAAAATGTAATAAATGTACATAAAATTATAGTATTTTATGTACACTTCTGATAAAATTTCATAAGAAAGGTACCTATAAATTAATTAGATACCTTTCTTATGAAATATGAAATTTAATCTCACTCTTAACAGTCTTATTTTAATTTCTTTATAATATATTTTCCATAAAGCATCGTAAACGTAAAGGTGAAAGCTAAGTACAAAAAAAAATTAAAGCGCTGAAAGTTTTCCTTAAAAATAACGAGGTAAATAATTTGTTCACTTAAATCTAAATAACTTCACTTTTCGGCTTCCGTAGAACAAATTATGATCACGTAAATCTGTCAATACGTTATTCATCACCTGTCAAGTGACGCGAAAGGTTATGACCTGCTTTGTTTTATTTTCAAATTACATCTTTTCGGCGCAGAAGCTAAGTTAAGCTTGGTTCAAAATATTTTAAATAAACATTATAATTTCTGATTTTCTTAAAATAAGTTTCGAAAAAATGATAATTGATTTTTTTTTTAAATTCAAAGAGTGGTTTTCATCTTTTTTATAAAATGGAAAAAAATGGACGCCACGATTGATTATCTGTCAATTTTGCTGACTCAAGAAAAAACAAGATTTTTAACGAAAATTTCGGACGTGCTCGGAACAATTAAAAATGTAAAAAAAATACCCCCCTAAATACTTTGATCTTTCTTCTTAATAATAACATGAACATTTAGACGATAAAATTTTGTTTGCGTCAAGTTTGGCGTCTTTTTCATCATGCTATGCTCTTTTTTAGCGATCTCATTGAGGTACCTAACAAAACAGAAGGACGTACATAAGATTAAATAGACAAACAAATAATCCAAGGTTCGCCTAAAGGCGAAACAAATTTAAACAAATTTAAACACAAAAAGAAAACGCAAAACGAAAGTGTTGTGACTACTACTACTTTTGCCACGCCTACAGTTTTCTCAACTGTGATTGGTTAAATAATAAATACAGTTTATCACAGGACAATTTACTAATCGCAGTCACCACATTGAATTTTTTCTGTCGTGAATTTCACAAACATGCTTTTGGTAGAAAATCACCGATTGGCTAATTTTTCATCCAGTCATATATTTTCTGTGTTCGTTCAATTCTCCCGTCTTTGTTCCTGGAGCCTAGCAACAGTTATAAAAGCAGTGTTTTGTTCCAAAAATAGACAGTAGAATTCAGCAACTCACACGCGTCTACACAGACTATTGATTCTACTCACTGCGCACACAGACACAGAACTTGAATTACATTTCACCATTCGTTTTCTGTTAGGCCAAGTTACAAACCAACACTCTGTTAGTTATACAAATAACACACAACTGAATTAACTGTATGTTTTTCTGAATGCAACATTCTATTTCAACATAGAACTTTGAACAAGCTAAATAAAGAGAAACTACTTTCTTTTCCTTAATATTCACAGATTACAAAATTGTTTCGTATTTGTTTATTTTAATATATATTTTATCGTTGAAACAAAAATCGTTTTTTCAATGTTTTTCCTTGGTTCAATAATGTATAAATGTTAAATGCTCTTCAACACGCAGCCACATTAATCTCTTCAACATAATATACAAGCAGCATTTACAAAAGGACGTACGACAGACGAGAACAAATGGACAAGGTTCGCCTAAAGGCGAAACAATAAATTTAATACAATGACAAAACAGAAGAACGTACAAAAAATTAAAAAGACGGCAGACAAGAAAGCAACAAATTAAACAATAAAACGAAGCGTTATACAAAGAAAAGTAAGAAAACGCTATACAAATAAAATACGAAACGATAAATGTAACAATTTACAAAAAAAAAAGAGATCAACCCTAAAACAAAACGATAAACAATGAAAGAAGAAAAATGGACAGAATATACAAAATAAACACAAAATTTAGAAACAA